ATAATGATAATTTGAGTATGATATTTGTTTTACCCGGTTATTGCCTTCGAATATTTTATTTTTTTTTTTAATTAGGTAAAATGCTAATGAAAAATTGCGTTGGTTTTGGTTTTTTTTTTTTTTTTTTTTACCGTTTCAACCGTTTAAAAATAATTAAGGAAATTGCGTAAGTTAAAAAAAAAAAAGAAAGAATAATAATAATAATAAATTTTTTTTTTTTTTTCTTCCAATTGTGAAAGTTTCATTTTTGGTTAGTTGAGAAATATTATTATTATTATTATTATTATTATTATTATTATTATTACCATTTTTTTTTTAACGTTGTATTCCGCGTTTTTATTTTTTATTATTTTTCGCGGCCGATAAATAAAATCAAAAAGATAATAAAAATAATAATAATTATTATTATTACGATCGTAAAATGTAATTACTGATGATGATTTCTTGTAAAAAAAAAAAAAAATAAATTTATTATTATTATTATTTTATTACTTTGTTGTTTTTTTTTTACCGCGCTCGTTACGTAACCGGTATTACATATCTCGTTTTAGGAAATGTTTTTTTAACTTTATGAAAATTAAATTTCAAATTAAAAATATGGCGAATTGATTTATCCGTTAAAATTTGCCGTTTTTTTAAAAAAATAAATTTTTCGATAAATGCGAATTAAACGTTTGTCGTTTTTCTGTATCCACGATTCGAAAAGTTTTGAATTTTGACCGCCAGGAGTGCTGTTGGAAACAATCAACCAATCGGATTCGTAAAAATTTTTTTGTAAAGCAGACGATTTTTTTTTACTTTTCTTATTCGGACATTCTACGGACGTTAAATTCGAAAAGTTTTTTTTTTTTTCCTTTCGGTTATTGTGAAATAATTTTTTCGATATTTATCGTAATAAAAATAAATAAGTGATAAGTTTTTACATCTCTACCGAAAAGTATTTTTTAAATAAGTTAATAATAAATAGTTTAAAAGTATTGACATTAACTTACGTATTTATTACTACCACTACTCCTGAAGTGTTTTACCCCAAAAAAAAAAAAAAAAAAAGAAAACTTGTTAATAAATTTAAAACTTACATTTAAGTTTAACGAAAAAAAAAAAAAGTATAAAATAATAATAATAGTGATTGTGATTGGTGCTTTTTAAACATCGCTCAACAAAAATAAAACTAACACTGACTGACGATTGACGGTCAATTTGATTATTAGTACCGAATATAACTAAACCAAACTGTGAAATAATTTTTCTATGTTGGTTGTGCGATTTGCCATTCCCCACCTTTCCGCTTATTATACAGGTAATAAATTTTTTCCTTCTTCTTATTTAACTTATAACTCGTTTTACTTTTTCCATAATATTTTCTTTTAATTTTTTTTTTTTTTTTGAAAATATATTTTTATATATTATATATATAAAATGGGTATTTCATTTTTAAATGGATAAATTTAATTTCAATAATTATCTAACCTTGAAATGGTTACAGTACAGTGGGTAAAAACAAAACCAGTGGAAAATTTTTTGTTTTATTTATTTATTTATGAGAGATCAGAATTTTCTCGTATTTATTTATTTATTTATTTTTAATAGAATGTAATAATAATGTCAGAACGAATTTTATTTTATTTCGATTCTGTCGAAATTAAAAAAAAAAAATTAAATGGTAATTTGGATTTTCATTAATTTTCTCTGAGCTAAATAATTTTTTTATGTACGTTGACATCATCAAATTTGCCACCCTATTTAATGGGGGGACTAATTATTTTTAATCCCTTATTTCCTCATCTTAAATTTTCCAACGAATAAATTATTATTATTATTATTATTATGGTCACTCTTAAACACGACAACGTCGTCGTTCTTATTGTCTCTGGGCTTGTCGAGGTTTTTAAGTTCATTTATTCCAGGTTTCTATCGGACAATTCCTTAGGGATAAGAAGCTCGAATTTCGTTTGTGCTATTTATAATATTATTATTATTATTGTGATTCGAATAACGTTTTCGAAATGGGTTACGGGAAATTCTTAATTTTTTTTTTTTTGTGTGTGTTCTCGAAGGGTAAAATTTATTTTACAAAAATTTTCTTTTTTTATATTATCATATATGATAAATTATCCCTCGGGTAAAATCATTATTTTCCATTAATATTATTATTATTATTATTATTATTACGTAACTTATAATAATGGTGCCTGTAGGGACCTGGAATTTCAATTCACGTAATATTATTTGTATGGTCATAATATCTAATGATTTATTAGTTTTTTTTTTTTTTTTTTTATTGATAAAATATATTTGGGAAATTACAAAAAACGTTAATTAATAATAATAATAATAATTAAAATGCTTTTTAAAAAAAATTCAATTAAAAAAAAAAAAGCTCGTCTAATGATGATGATGATGATGATGATAATTTTTTTTTTTTTCGCAGATTACAAGGTAATAAAGGAAGAGGGGGGGGGGAAAAAAACCAAAACAATTATTTTTTAAAAAAAAAAAAATTTTGGAAAGGAAGATACGACGATGGATGATAAGTTAGTGAAAGGAA